TGGACCGAAACACTCGCGTCTGTTACGTGGTAAGCATTACCGAGTGACAACGTTGTACAGGGTTCGCAGCGGTCTTTGAAATCCTTGAAAGTCTTTAAATTTGAATGCAGGTTTTTAAGGTCTTTGAAAAGTCTTGGAATTGTGTGAAAACGCGAAGAAAGTCTTTAAAAGTCTTTAGATTCTTCAGTAAGTGTTTGATTATACGATTTCCTAGCTAATAAAATAGGTTGATTGAAGAGCAAGGTTTTCGCAGTATCGACGAAAAGGCGCATTTTAGGATGTGATTTGACCGGACTAATTACCAGTTAACAATTAATGGTGTTTACACTCGCAATTTTTCGACAGCTGATTGCTCTGAAAAGTCTTTGAAAAGTCTTTGAAAATAGGCAGAAAAAATCTTTGAATTTTTTTTAAATTTTTTTGCTCTTGGAGACGACGAACCCTGGACTTGTAGCAACTTATAAAATAACAGCATTGTTACAACTTGTTGACGAGCTTTGCTACAAGCCTGTTGTCAACACATCTTCTTGACAAGTTGTGAGATTTTTACGTGTGTTCCCGGAACTATTTCATTATTAATATATTTGCCTTATATGATATTCATAAACCTTGATGTTTCAATCCTGCAATCTTTGTTCATGTTGTGTTTCCTTGTAGATTGTTTAGATAATCTCGCAGACCTTATTTCAGAGTTTCCCTCGTTGGTTGAAAGGTACTGGTGACTCTACGTATAGTAATTCCACAGTTAATACTCTTTGAGAGCAGACAGATTTTCGCAGACTATTTTATGATTTTGTACCACCACACGCAACAAGCTGAATAAAAGTATTGAAAAAAGAAAAATCATATTACTAGATTACACTGGTATCGAAGGAACTAGATTCTGTTCCGAAATATCACTTACTCGAACCGTCCTGACCGCGTAGCTCAGTTGGCGGAGCATTGGGCTAGTATTCCAAAGGTCGTAGGTTCGATTCCCACCGTGGCCGGGCATATTTTCAAGCTCGTCTGGTGTGGATATACACTCAGAGTAACATCACAAACATCATATTCACCTGAGTACACAACACAAACACAGAAAAAAAGTATTGAAATTGTTAATAATGAAATTTCATAACCTCTTTTGATTTCTGACATATATAAATTAAGTTATATTCATTTAATACTTCAATAAACTCTTCAATTAATTATAAACCATTTCAGTAAACTGGTGCTAAAGCCCTGGGCAAACTATAGGAAACATTGTCATTGTTGCGGAAACATTGTTTCCTACCAATGGCAATGTTTCGCCATGTTTCCCAGAGTGGCCAAACACTAGGAAACTTCAGGGAAACATCAAATGTTTCTGAATTTGCTATATAGGAAACATTTTTGCTTCCTGGGAAGCAAATTTTGTTTCGGCAACAATGTTTCCACGGGTGGGCAAACATGGAAACATTTGAGGAAACATCGAGAATCACAAATGTTTCCGCAACAATGTTTCCTAGTTTGCCCAGGGCTTAAGGCTTTTTTTATTTTTCCAAATAGCAGTCGATTTGTGTTCGTTCCTGGGCCGCAAGATCCTGGTCCTGGTAACATCTTACCGAGGTAGCCTTTTATTCAATGTTACATCAATTCTGGAGGTAAAACTAGGAGATTAAGGAATTATTTTTTCGCCCTAGACCGCCAATACCTTCGTGTCTTACAAAGGAAATAAAAGCAAAGATCCCGTTCGCAATCTTCGCAACAAATCCATGCAGGTATGAAATGCTCCGAATAATGTTGTTTTAGTAAAGTGTTTTGAGTGTAATTCCAGTTTAGTTTAAACCACTCATTTATTTTTGTTTAGTTCTAGTTTGAAACAAGAATTTCAGTTCAGTTTTAGTTTAGTTCAATTTGAAAGAAGAATTTCATTTCAGTTTTAGTTTTGTTCTCTTAATGAGTTTTTTATTAAAGTGCATATGACATGAAATTTCTTATTTTCGAACTATTTCGCTACGCTATATTTTTTAGTTTTACTGCTGAAATGTAACCTATAACAAATCGACTTACGAGTAGCAACAGTAAACACAAAGCAACATTTTTGTAAGCACTACAGTGGTCAAGAGTGCAAATTGACTATTGAGTATTGGGTTTAAGCAAACCGTGTCTCAATATCACGCTATTCTATCAAGTTGCTAACAATTTTAAAAAGTAGCGAATAGCGATTTGCTGTTTGAAAAGTTGTCAACTATTTGGCTACTTTAGGCAAAATGCAGTTCGCTATAACTACAGCTACTATTTTAAAAAAATAGTCAAAAAGTACTGGCTACTTAAAGATTGTAGTTCGCTACAGTAGCGAACTACAACTACTTCGCTACTACCCACCCTTGCTCAATAGACAATACTTTCACCGCACGAAATCCTCCCAGACTCGTGTAAACAAGGCTTTTGACTTGGAAGTCCACATCTTCACACCGCAAATGCGGCGAAGACGCAGGAACTGATTGAAGGGAATCGAGCTTTGGTATAGTTGGGGTGGGAAGACTACAATAGAAGATAGCTGTAGGAGTCATTGGGCTTGTAGAACACAGATGTAACTAGTTTATTGACACTGATTGATACTATACGATATCTAAGAATGTAAGACGTTATCAAATGTATGGTTACAGGATTCAGTATTGCACGCAGGAAATTGTCGTGTTCAGAGAAGATCTAGTGAACAAGATGTGTCGTAATTGCATTCATCTTCCCACGGATCTCGGAGACATACCCAGCCATGTAAGTGTTGCCGGCGGTCTCTAGATGTCACATGCCAGTTGTAATTCATACCAATTGTCAACTGCTTTTAGGGTGGCTCATAAAACAAGCTATATAGAGACCGGAACGAAGTCAAACCGGGGACCATTTCGTTTCGGTCATAGTATTATTTATAATAGATGAAACGCAAGAACTCCCTTTACAAATGCCAGAGCTCCCTTTTCAAACGCAAGAACTCCCTTTTCAAATGGCAGAACTCCCGTTTCAAATAGCAAAACTCCCTTTTCAAATAGCAGAACTCCCTTTTCAAATAGCAGAACTCCCTTTTCAAATAGCAGAACTCCCTTTTCAAATAGCAGAGCTCCCTTTTCAAATAGCAGAGCTCACTTTTCAAATGGCAAAACTGCCTTTTCAAATGCCAGAACTACCTTTTCAAACGCCAAAACTCCCTGTTCAAATGACAACTTTATTTTGATTATTAATTAAAATGAAGATTAGTTTGTTCTTTTACCGAAAGTCACCGGTCAAAATGACCGGCAAGGTAAGAATTTGACCCAGAGAATTTGACCAGACAACTCTCCATTCTGGCCGGACAATGTCCGTTGACTGGCCGTTATTTCCCGCCGTGATGTTTACATGAGACCAGGTCGAAAATAACTCAGACCGGTCTGAAGTCATTCCCGCCTGCTGGACCGAGCCGACTGACTTCAGACAGGCATGAATTCAGACTGGGATGAATGCATAAACACTTTCTGATCTGTGCTGTGATCAGACACCCGTGTACTTATGATATTCGCTGTATTTTTCAGTTGGTAAAAACGATAATATCTCAAGCTCACATCAGCCCCCTGCCACATCACGTTCGTCCTGTTTACTGGAATTACGACAACGCTTTGAGGATTTACCCCGTACCTGATTTGGTAAGTCGTACACACGTAAAAACGCACAAGTTGTAACAAACCTGCAGCAGACTTGTAGTAATGCTGTTCCAACAACTTGTCAACAGGATGTGTTCGCACTGCTTGTTCCCAGCTTGTTGACAAGTTGTTGACGGCTTGTTGACAACTTGCTACAGGGTTGTTGAGCTCAACAGACTTGTTACAAGTTGTTCCAACAACTTGTTATCGTCCTGCAATTCAACAATTTGTCAACAAGTTGTGAGTGACAACCTTGTAGCAACTTGATGAAATAACAGCATTGTTACAACTTGTTGACAAGCTTGCTACAAGCCTGTTGCGAACACATCTTGTTGTCAATAAGTTGTGAGTGACAACCTTGTAGCAACTTGATAAAATAACGACATTGTTACAACTTGTTGACAAGCTTGCTACACACTTGTTGCGAACACATCTTGTTGACAAGTTGTGAGATTTTTACATGTTTATTTATGAAGTATAGGGCGGTTTGCTGGATGGAAAACTAAGAAGCAGAAAGGAGGAATTTATGGTTCTCATTGGATTTATAGGAAGAAAAGTTTAGAACTGATAGAGCATTCCAGTATAAATAAAGTTCGTTTAGCTCCTAAGCAGTGAGGCAAATCTTGAGCAATATAAAGCGTTCTTCTTTTTGCAGATAATTCTTGCTGACAAATATCATTCATATGTTCAACCAACGACGCTAGATTGCATTTGCTTAAATCCAGTAAGTTAAAACACGCAAGAAAATTAAAAACTTGTTACAGTCCAGTAATGGGCCGGATCAAACTACACATGTAAAAAAGCACAAGTTGTTACAAATCTGTTCACAAGCTGTCGACAAGTTGTGTTCGCACTGCTTGTTCCCAGTTGTTGTAACAAGTTTGAAACAAGCTGTTAACAACTTGTAACAAGCTTGATTGCATTGCATTGTCAGACTTGTCACAAGGTTGTTCTGACAGGTCTGATACAGTTGTGATATAACAAGAATGTTACAAGGTTGACAACACAAGGTTGTAGCACATTGTTATTGTTAACAGCTTGTTCCAAACTTGTTGACAACTTGGGACAAGCAGTGCGAAGACAACTTGTTCACAGCTTGTTGGCAGACTTGCTACAAGATGTGAGATTTTTGCGTGTCACAAGATTGTTTAAACTAGCTGGTATCAGAGCATGCCTTGCACGGACCAACTCGTAACTTGTTTATTTTTTCAAAGGGTTCGTTTTCAAAGAATGATTACTGTTTTAAAGTTTACTGGCCAGCTTCAAGAGAAGTCGAGGAAAGGTAGGAAATATTTCATATTTTACGTCGTTTTGAGGAAATGCTCATTAGTCAGCTTTAACTTATGCTTGTATGTTTTATTCTTTAGCAAAATTCAAGAATAAAAAGAGGAGAGAATATTGAAGTACTTCGAAATTCTAGTCAGAGGTATCTATATAATTCTGGCAAATATGTACACAGGTAAAAATCTCACACCTTGTAGCAAGTCTGCCAACAAGCCATCAACAAGTTGTGTTCCCAAGTTGTCAACAAATTTGGAACAAGCTGTTAACAACTTGTAACAACCTTGTTGATATTATCAGGCTTGATTATTAGATTACACTGATATCGAAGAAACTAGACTCAGTTTCGAAATATCGCATCTCGTACCGACCTGACCGCGTAGCTCTGTTGGCAGAGCATTGGGCTAGTATTCCAAAGGTCGTAGGTTCGATTCCCACCGTGGCAGGGCATATTTTTCAAGCTTGCCCGGTGTGGATATACACTCAGAGTAACATCACAAGCATCTTATTCACCTGAGTACACTACACCAACACAACAAATATCATTATCAGACTTGTTGTAAAGTTGTTCCAACCTTGTGTCGTCAACCTTGTAACATTCTTATTATATCATGACTGTATCAGACATGTTAGAACAACCTTGTAACAAGTCTGATAATACCATCAAGCTTGATACAAGTTGTTAACAGCTTGTTCCAAACTTTTTACAACAACTGGGAACAAGCAGTGCGAACACAACTTGTCAACAGCTTGTGAACAGATTTGTAACAACACGTTTGCAGACCTGTAACAACTTGTGGGTTTTTACATGTGTACATGGTTACATTTGTCGTGAGGTGAGAATTGAACACAATGATGGGTACATGACCATATATACTCGCTACCATATCATGACAAAGCTGACAAATCATTCAGATTACTGGCACACGTCAAAACCAAAACTGTATATAACGCATAACTAGCAATAACAAATAATTTATTAAATCCAAGATAACTTTCAAACAATATTATACTATAGATATAATGTGGAATTTAGATAAAAATTGGATGTTACAAAATGAATGCATGCTATGACAAGCTCGTTTGCAGCCCTTGCAATTAGCCTATTTTTGCCTCGGCAAAATTGATATTTTTTTGCCAACCAGGTAAGAACATTCTCGATATGCTTCGGCAATCCCGAGTGCCTAGGCAATTACGAAAGCTGGTTTGTTGTCATTCTATAAAACATTTTCACATAATGTACATACTACAATACGATTGTTTCTTGGGAAATTTGTGATTAATTTAATGTTTCTATCCATCATTTACTTGTCTGAGTTTGCCTGTATATAGACACCTTCCTAAAAACACAGAATTAAGATATATATTTAACATTATGTTACAACATGTTACCATGTTTATGATTATCATAAAACGTTTCTAAGATGGCCCTGAATGTTAGTACTGTGTTTAACAGAAAAAATAACATGAAATATGTACACACCATAGATTGCCACTCGTTGCCAGGTTCTGTGTGTGTATAAGCACTGATTTCACTCTGCCCACTGATTGGACGACCAAATGTATCTCCAGAAATATGCAAATACCTTTGAAAAGGGAATTTAAGAACACCTGATTACTGGGGAGAACACTTTAGAACTGATAGAGCTATCCAGTATAAATAAACTTAGTTTAGTTTAGTTTTCCTCTTGTAGTGACACTGGATCAATAAGAGATGATCCTTACTGGATCTCTAGGAAGAACAGTTTAGAGCTGATAGAGCTATCCAGTATAAATAAAGTTAGTTTAGGTTTCCTCCTGTAGTAACACTGGATCAATAAGAGATGATCCTTACTGGACCTCTAGGAAGAACTGTTTAGAACTGATAGAGCTATCCAGTATAAATTTATAGGTTTCCTCCTGCAGTAACATTGGATCAATAAGAGATGATACTTACTGGACCTCTAGGGAGAGCAGTTTAGAACTGATAGAGCTATCCAGTATAAATAAAATGAGTTTAGTTTAGGTTTCCTCCTGTAGTAACACTGGATCAATAAGACATGATCCTTACTGGACGTCCAGGAAGAACTGTTTAATTAAAGCTGACAGAAATAAAGTTTGAGTCAGAAAAGCCCTTAAAAGACATACTTCTTAGTCAATGTATGTTTGAAGCGGACTTTATCGTCTCTGTTCCAATATTTTGAGGTACAAATGACGGACCAATGATCACCATCATCACCAACACCATTCTCGCCAAATGCACTCACTTCCTGGTTGTTTGATAATGGTGATTGAAACAGATGGCTGTGTAGAAAACGTTTGGTAGTCTGGTGAACAAGACGGATGGTACTGCCACACTTTACGGCATTCCTACATTAAGAAAGATGTCGGAATGAATATAGTGTCAACTGTTCGATAAAAAGTTGCCAATTTCTCATACTTGAAAGACATTTTTAACAAGAGATTTTTCGTTTACCCTCGTCTACATGGCATGCCTGTTTTTCCTTTCACAATCCACAAACTGTTGATGTCATCCTGGTTCCCTACACCAGTCACGGACTGGAAATATAAATATTGTGTTGGTGATATATTCATGATCATATTGTAAATCCTCTAGTAACCCTTTAAGTGGCAATGTGATTTTGGGTGATTTTAAAAAGATGGAGGGCTTAGACAATATTGTCTAAAAAGGGGGCAGCTTAAATTAAGGGGGGGCTTAAAAAATGCAGATAAAACCCACCTGTTGGCCAGAGCCAGAGCCGTACTTCACTTCGTGAGAGTGTAATCTAACACGGTGGTACGGATTTAAAAGTTTAACCGCACTTCCACATGTCACATGTTTGAACTCTGTTAAAAAATATGAATTGACATTGAATATTTGAGAGAAGAAAAATTGATAATGGGTGATGGGGTTTTATAGGAGGGGTTTTTAAGGGTAACCCCCATCAGAAATCAGTCTATGCTTGCACGTTTCAACTGCGCTTTTGTATAATTTGTGCACAAGTTCTACCTTCAGTGTGAACAAGGGTTGGGGGAGGGGTTTATATAACTGCCATAGGGTCACCCCTCTTTATAGTGTTGTAATTCACTAATAATTATAAAAGATCCATTCAATACTCTCAGAGAGATGTGATAATCTGATTATCATAGCCCTGATAGTATTGATGGATATTTGCAAGACAAGATAGTGTTATATACATTGGGTTAACGCATTTGTTTATGGATTTATATACCCTAAACTAATGCAACAATTCGAACTAAACTCACCGTTTTCCAAGTTAGCAAGAACATATAAACTGCTTCGCATCAAGTTACTAACTAAGAATGTAATAAATAAATTGTAAACACTACAAAACATTTTTAACGTATAATATTTTCATTCATTCAATAATTTTTCCTATATCAAAGTTTGTATATTTTCAAATATTTTTTTTCATATTTCAATTTTCAAAGCTTGGGTTATGCGAGATCGTCCCGCGTGTTGCGTGTCACCGGTCGTTTGTCAGCTCGTGGTGCGATCTGATTGGCTAACGTCAAAACTTTTCCAAAAACCTAGTCTATCCTGGTGATGTACCTTGATATCACGTAATATCCCATTATATCATTTGTTCTCACTAAGTATCCCTTTCTGTCATATGATATCCATGACTATCACCTGATATCATTGAAAAGCCCGTTATATCATTTGTTATCTTGTTTTATCTCATAATATCCATTTATATCACACAATATCAATATATATCCTATCACTTTTGAAAAAGTACCTTTATATCCCATTCTATAACTTGATATTCCCATTCTATCACGTAGTATCAATGAATGTCCCATTGTATTACCTGATAGCCATAAGTATCCCATTATATCAATTGATGTCAACTGGTATCCCACTTTATCACTTGATAGCAACAAGTATCCTAGTCTACCATTTGATATCAATTGATATCCCATTTTATCATTTGATATCACTATCTATCCTCCAATTTCCAAAATGGCGTACTTTCGAAGCAGAAAAGAGTTACGTTGTGGCGAGTTTTGCGCAGCATAAAAAATTAACACGTCAAGGGATGATCGGCAGCGTTGAGTTTTGGCAATGCAATGGTCTGTAACTGTAGGTATCGTTACTTTTATCGTTTTTGCTGGAAGCGTTAAAGGAATCTTGGCTTTTTCATTTTGTGCCATAGTAGCATTCGTTTTTGCTCGAAACTTGTTCGATGGAGCAAGTAAGCTCGATTTTACGCCGTATTTTGCGTCAAAAGGTCTCGGGTTTGGCAAAGAGAGGGAAGCGTCGAGTAGTACGACAAGGCTTTTCCCTCGCGGATTAAGAACATGTCGACATGCTTTAATACGAAATATTCTCAGAGATTTCGTGATATCTTGGTATGAAAATGTAGCAATTGGCGGAGACTTTATTTTGGAGACTAGATCGCTACTAGAGGAAGCGACTGTTCGTTTTTATGACAAACTATCAAGAACATCGGTGAGCTCTCACACTGAGAAGTTATGTATCCTTTTGCACACGCATCTTGCAACCACACAAACTGCAAAAGCATTGATGGCAGAAAGCCACAAAAATTTTGTCGAAACGTATCGTTCATTGCAAGAAAAACCTCTTACTTATCAAAATGACGAGTTGCAATATCTACGAAATGTCATTGATTTGTTACTTTACAGACTTGTACAGCCAAAAACATTGGGCTGCGATACCGGCCGATTTATCTTACGGGAAATTTTGGCCTTCAAACTAATGCTGCCCCTTGTAGACACAATTTCTGACCCTAATTTTGTGAACACATCAATAATTAATATATTTGGGCAAAACACAGATGAGAATCCACTAACAAGCTCGTTAGAAATTAATGAGACCTCAAAATCTAATTTAAAAGTGTCGACATCTTTTATGGAGTATCTCGACCAGAATTTGGAATTAAATGGCAATACAAACCCTAGAACGTTGTCTCAATCAGGGGCTGCAACAAAATACAAGTTTAAAGATGCCACTGTCATCGAAAAAGATCACAGTGAAATTGTGGAACTTTCTATGGAAGTCCATTCGCAGGAGGAAAATGGCTCGTCAAGTTTGGTCGGACCGGATGATAGTACCGTTGATAAAACAGCAGATAAAATAAACGAATCTGCCGTTTGCAAAAGACCTAAAAATACAGCCAAAGAGCCCAGTCACTCATCCATAATAAATGGTCTTACCAAAGTTAAGAATGATATATTTAGGACTAATAAGGAAAAAGGACAAAATTCAAAACTCAATGCCGTTTTGAGTGCCAAAATTCATCCGAGCGGAATTATGTTCGCTAGACAGTTACGAAAGGCAAACTCTTCTCCTGTTGTGAAGCAAAGTGCGGAAGCTAATTTGGGAGAATCTGTCCCGAAAGGGGAAATTAGTTTGGAGGGAGTGTCGGAAACTGATGCATGTCCAGACTTGTTGAACGAAAGTGGTGATAATTGTTGTTCTCAGGGTACGTTGGTAAGTTTGGGTTGTGACGACACTGGTTTGGAAACCATAAATGGCGATACTCTACTATCTGATAGCCAGTCCAATCCAAAATTTATTTCCGGCAATGTTGAACGAGAGTCCACATCAAGCTTCGAAACAGTCGACATGTATGATTGTGGTGTGAAAACAGATGCTGTCGATTTTCCCGAAAGTGGCAACTCGACCAATGATCTCAAGACAGTTGACCGACAAATACTTGAAATGTTGCCCAACGATGAAAAATCTAAACCTAGCCAGACGAATGTTAATCCGGCCAAAAGTCGGCACCACACGACAAGTTTTTCCAGTACGGATGAGTGGGACAATGAAGTTTTTGGGAAATCAGAGGAAGGATTATTTGACGTTGGGGAAGATTACAATTTAGAGGCAAACAGCGTTGCTCTTAACTCAGGGCAGGCAGAAGATGATATGGTGTCCCGAGCAGATTTTGCAATTCATGACATGCCCAATCCTTGTTCAATGATCAGTATTCTGTCCACTGAATTGGTTACAGATCACTCATTTGAGCCATATAAAAGTCGATATACAGTCTATGTTATTGAGGTAAGCTTTTATATTTTGAACAACTTTTGCCTTGTCGGCAGTTGGTAGACAATCGGAATTGGTAGAATTATCTGTATTTTCAATCGCGTTTCATGTTACACAATCGCTCAATCACTAATTACTTTTATATTTTGAACTTTATTTTCTCAATGCATATATTATTTAAAATTTTACACATTTTGTGCAGTATAACACACGACTGTGGCCACACTCTGAAAGTGATGACCATCCAGAAGAGACAGAGAGATCAGAGACAGACACGCAAGGCAATATCAAAAGAAGATATCGAGAATTCATGGAGTTACATCATCGACTTTTGTGTGGGTCTTTTGCCAGCTTAATGAAGGGTACAGTACATTAAGTTTAACCTTACTAAGTAACTTTGTTTATACTGGATAACTCTGTCAGTTTAGACTGTGCTCCCTAGAGGTCCAGTAATGACAATCCTTAATTGGTTCAGTCTTGATTTTATTTCAGATATTCCAAAGCCAAACAGAAAATTCAATTCTCCATTTTTCCGACTGGACCAAGATGTCATTGAAGGAAGGCAGATACTGCTTGAAAACTATTTGAAGGTTGGACATTGTGTTCTGCATCGCTCTATCAGTTCTAGGCCAACCTTTGTAGATGTCCAATAAGGATCATCTCTTATTGATGCAGTGTTACTACAGGAGAAAACCTACACTGGATAGCTTTATCAGTCCTAAACTGTTCTTCCTAGAGGTCCAGTAAGGATGATCTCCAGTGTTACTAAAGGAGGAAACCTAACCTAAACTAACTCTATTTATACTAGATAGCTCTATCAGTTCTAAACTGTTCTCCCTAGAGGTCCAGTAAGGATTATCTCTTATTGATCCAGTGTTACTAAAGGAGGAAACCTAACCTAAACTAACTTTATATATACTGGATAGCTGTCTCAGTTTGAAACTATTCTTCTTGAATGTATTCCTCTATTTCCTGTAGTGTCTGGTAAATAAACTTGCCATCTTAAACTGTGAAGATTTCAAGGGATTTCTGGGTATTGGAGACGAGAGCCATACAGACTTCAGAAGGCATATTAGTGTTGTTCCAACATTGCCCAATGTTCCAAGGATTGATAAAGTACGTGGAAATCCAATGATTCAAATTGCTGCTTTGTTTAATAGGCTCTGTCCCCCCCGTAGACAATTTTGGGCAAAATTTTGAATTTCCTAAAACGTGTTTTTATGAGTTGTTTTAATGAAAGAAACGATCTTTGACCATTGCTGCAACATTTGGAGCAGTTTTGGGCAAAATTTTGAATTTTGAAAAAAGCATAATTTCACCAGATATTAGATAAATATTATTGATTAATACAATTATGTTTTGTCAATTTCATAGAAACTGCAGAAAAAAGTAACAAAGTTTATCGATCATATCAAGACAGCTTTTGATACAGGTAAAATAAATATGAAAATGATATAAATGGTAAAAATGTGATAAATGGTAAAGGTGGGTTACTTTTCTGTGTCAGGTCCAGTGGACGGTGATAAGGAAGAAGAATATGAAGATATCAGACAAGTTTTGGGTGAAGATAAAACATCGCAAGATGAGATCAGAACATTTGCCATTTGTTCTCAGGGATGTAAGGTGGGTTGTGTGACGACTAATGCCAACTCTTTCACAATTTCCAATAGAGCTTTTTCATAATGACTTCAAACGTGGATAAACACTTATTGTAATGCGATATCCTACAGGACAATTTTAACCGACGATTCACACGACAAGTCATCGCCATGAAGCTATTCGAATTTCATGAAACATTTGCATTGCAAACTGTTGCTAAATTAGTATAAACATTGACCTATTCAATATTAATATATCACAATTAAGTGTTGAATGGACCTATTACCCAAAAAGCAAAATTTTGATCGCAACAAGTCTAGACAAATATTTCACCACAGCTTGAAAGTGCATCACAAAATTAGTAATATTCCAAAATTTCGTTGCAAAATGTTGTAAAATGCGGATAATATAGCCCTGCGAAGTTTGTCATTTTGTATTACGCACGGGAAATTGATAACGCTTTTTGAAAAAGGTATCAATTTCCCGTGCGTATAATACACAAAATGACTTAAAAACGGCAAACTTCGCAAGGCTATATTATCCGCATTTTACAACATTTTGCAACGAAACTTCGGAATATTACTAATTTTGTGATGCTCTTCAAGCTGTGATAAAATTTTTGTCTAGACTTGTCTAGAACAAAATTTTGTTCATTAGGTAATAGGTCCATTGAGTTTCATCAATATGTTTCGAAATGATTACTCTGATAGTGTGACCCAATTTTGGACTTTGTAATATTAAAATATTTTCGTTCAAAATTCCTAGTTGAACCACAGTTGCTGTTATTCAGACAATTGTTTCCACACTTTCATACAACAACAGCACGATGCAAACCAAGCCACGACAGAACACCCCACACCAGAAACCATTCAGCAAGCAAAAGAAATCCCAGCTACCAGGCTTAATTCAGAGAAAACTTGCGCAGAAAATGGTCATGCTAAAAATGGAAAACCTTTGTCGAATTCCAACCAGTTAAACCGCTCAAAAATTCCAAGAAAACGAAGTACCACATCGCCTGTTTTTAGTAATGGTGGTTCTGATTCATGTGACGGTCAAAAGCAAGGGACGACCAATGCATTGACAAAAACTGTTCTTAACCTGAGCTGTTATCTGTTGGAGAAACACGAATCTTGGGTGTGTTTAGAACCCGTTCAGGAATCTGCTACTGCTGTGTTTGGTTGTTTTCTTGAATGGTAAGTTCACAGGCACACTGTGGTACCACTCAACCATGGATGGCCCTTACTGGTCCTTTAGGGAGAACAATTTAAAACTGGTAGATTTATCCAGTATAAAGTTAGTTTAGTTCGAGGTTGAACGTTCCTTAATTGTCAGTCCTGTGGTAATAAGGGATGGCGCTTACCGAATTTCTAGGGAGAACATTTTAGACCTGATAGAGCTACCCAGTAGAAATATAGGTTAAAGTCTGATTCACTTTAGGTGGATAGAAGGTTTATTATCCGAGCTGGTCAGTGAAGAACAATGGCAGTATTACCTGACATTATTGACAGACACCGTATGGCCAGGGGGTGAACTCATGACATCCTCAGAAGAGGACAAAACTGAGGAGGAAAAATTAAAGACGAAAGAAGAAGCCATTCAGACCTTGAGTAATTTCTTTGGAGGTAAATATAGGTTGTGTTGTCAAACACTATTTCAGTTCCATATGATGTTTATGTTCGTTGCCACCAATTGATGCTTTTGGATAACTGAGAAACAATATACTCTTGTGACCAGTATTAGGATAATGTAAGAAAAGAATGAATAAAAGGCAAATTGGGTGTCAACTGTCATAAACACATTTTAGTTGATTTGGTGTTTAACGGGAATTTCTATTATTGAATTTCTACCATTGATATTATAAGGAAGAGGTTATTTCACTGGCCTAGCTCAAAACGGTGACAAAACGTAACAAAGCAACGGTTTTACTAACACTAACCCTATGTCAAACACCAACTCTAACCTTAAACCTAATCCTTACCCTACTCCAAGTTTGTTTCTAAACCAATCTTGAAGAAAAAGGTTTTCACGAAATGTCATTCTGATCGAGGTCAGCGAACTAACCTTTCTTTTGATTTATATTTGTGGTTTTTGCTTTGTGTATAGCTGTTCTCCACACTGCCATTGGAACAGAGGCTATAGAGTGTTCCGCCAGAGAAATTGTAGAGTCTTTACAGAATACAGAAATTAACAGGTGAGTAAATATGCAAAGTCAAAGATATGCCACTTAAGTGATTAATTAAGTTGCATTGTGCTGCAGTGCACCCTACTTTAATATTGTACTCTGTCTATGCCAGACGAATTTAATTTAATTTATCTAACTTTGCGTTGGTAACAATATTAATGAGTTAAAGAAACCCATCAAATTACTATATCTATAAATCAAGGCAGGATTTCCGCAACAGCTATGTCCAATTACTGCGGATCGTTCTTAACAATACTTAATAAACTAGTTAAGTTTACTGAACAGTAAACGACTAAATAGTTAAATCAATCAGTCAATTAATGAACTGTTTAATTGACATGTTCAATCAACCAACCAGAGATCAATCAATCAGACACTAAAAAATATTTTACCATTGGTAAAAGCAAAACCCTTCCATACAATGTAATAAATAGTAAGACTTACATAACATCTTACTCATAAATCTAGATCGTAAATCTTACTCATCAAGCGGAGTACACTGGTGCCCAATGGGTTAAGTCAGACTATTTGCCCATGTGTCTAGTTAACCCCATTATTAAGTTGCATTGTGCCCTAATGCATTTTATTTTATTTTGTCTAACACTCATCAAGAAGACAGTCCTGCATGGCGCTCAAATGCTAATCGCATAGACCATCCAAAATGCTTCTGATCTTTCTCTTTGTATAGGCAAGTTCTGTTGGAAGTCTTCGAAGTGATTTTGGCCGAGGTGTTTCCAGAGTTGATGGATGAAAAAGACTCTTATTTGTCTTCAAGAAATTGTTAAAGCTTGTAAATTAAATGTGAAGTAAAATGATTTTATGCTCATGTCTGGAAAGTATATTGAGATACTGCAGGCTAACGTGCCAATTTGTGTTAAAAATTGTAAATAAATAAATATAGAGTTTATTTATGAAATGTAGTATAAATTAAATGGTGTTAAATTAGCAAATAAAGTGATTATAACATATTTGAGAATGTGAGTGGGGGGATTTTGGAGGGGATACTCTGTAGTGATATGTGAAGGGTTTAAGTAAGAGAGCAAGTAGGGAGGGGGGTGTAAATATATTATTGGGCACAGGTTTTGGGGAGGGCTGAACTCACGAACATAGCCATTCGAGACAGGGGGAAGCGGAAATGATTTGCTCATCGCCAAATCAAAAACAAATTTAAATTGTAATTTTTTTATTTCAATGTTTATTTTTCTTGTGTGTTTTAAGCCTACTGTCTTTGTGACTTGTCTCGTGTTTTGTGCTGCCGTCTTGAATCAAGTTGGCAGCTTTAAGCAAGTTCCTTGCACAATTATTAATATGTTTAAACCTGTCTGGTCCCAGGAGAATGCCTCCGTACCATCTTGACACAACAATTAAGCAATTCTGAACTTTTAAAATTTGCAACAAATGTAAAAGTCTCGAGCCAGCATTGTGTTCACCATCATCATCGCAATCCTGTATCATGACTTGTGAGTTTTGTTTTGTTATTCTGTACGCAGAAATATTGTGCGTAGCATTTGCAATTTTACGCGTCTCCTTCAGTTCATGCAATGCATCTTGAACATCCTGTTCCGACGTTACTTTAATGAGATGTGCTTGGAACGTGCTCTTCCGGTCCGTGATCGGTTCCCCATGCAGGATTTCTGGTTGGTCCTTGTCTGTTTGCCAATTTGTTACATTGGCAACATTGTGGGTAGCAATTTGGTCAAATGTTGGAGAGACTGGCTGATCATCTGCGACTTGACTGTCCACTTCTGTCAAATAATGAAAAGTTAAAACACATTTTGCATAGGCGAATTTTAAGTTTCAAGGCATTTGTAAAAAATGTTTGGAAGGAACTGAACTCATTGGTTCTACTCTCAAAAGAACAGTAAATTCTTTTAGGCGAAGATGATGCAATTTGGCTGATCACATATCACATAAAGACCTTTGTGGAAGTATATTGGCTTCGTCCACATGATCTGAATTTAGCGTCTGATGGAATAGAAGGTTTTTTGACAGAACTTGTGAAATGGCATGCATGATCGGACCATGCACACTCGCATGATCAGCAAGGACAAACACATAAGTTCAAAGTACAGGATGAATTGTTTATGATTTGTGCATGGAATATAAATTCAATATGTTTTTGTTTTGTACTGTATTTTGGGCATGAACTACCTGAAAAAAATTTATAGTATAAATTTTATATGGAATCGAACCTACGGCCCAGGGATTCCAATATTCAGAATTTTCTAACCTTCAGGTAGTTCAGATACAAGCCAGGGTTTGGAATCTCTAATTAATATACTGATTGTAACAATTAACTATATATTAATTATTAACAATATTAACTACCTCTATTTAATTCCTCGATTTCAGCATATAAAACCGATTTCTCGTTCATAAACTCACGCACGGCTTCGACCCACTGAAACACAACACATTCGTCTTTATTTTCCTGATATATCGCGTACAATTTATCCCGTAGCTCGAATTCATCATGATCGCCTAGCCATGTGCCATGTATTTCAAAAACCGGTGGCCCAGAACTCGGATAATTCTGCGGTAATAACACCTGTATCGTTAACGACCACCAAGGGTTTTCCTCGTGACGAATGCGTACATCAAAAAGCTTTTCTGTTGAATCTACCATTAGGAAATCGTCGCCATATATTGATGACAGCGCTTCGATTTCCTCGCTCTGTCTGGAACTGTCCGTGTCGGCCATTTTAAATAAAAGTAGATTTTTATTAGCGATCAAAACAGTTTAGTTTGCAACTGTTGAAGATCTGATATGTTTGCGCAATTGGAACTTCTTATAAGTTCAAATTGTACACTAATACACGTAATCAAACACGATTTGTTTACATTTTTACGCTTCGTTGCATTGATTTTCAAGTACGCGTGTTTCGCGCGGGATTGCGCGCGCTGGACTTGCCTGTTTTTAAGGTGTGATAGCCTGCAAAACAGGTGTTGCCCAAAATTGTCTTCTTTCGGCAGCTGTTTTTAAAATTTGGGGGGAAATTTGCGCAGGATTTTTTTAAGTTTTAATACACTAATTGTTAGCATAATGTAGTAAAAACAAGCAAACGTGAAATCAAATAATTTGTATAGGTTTTTTTCGGTGGGCCCCAGTTGCGGACAGGAAAAATTTGCCATTTTTGAACTGTTATTAAAGATTTACCAATAAAACATATAATAATGATAATTATAATAGATTTACCAATTTATTTATTTATCTTAATTTTCCAATGGGAAGTTCAATCATTACCAGTCTCCTACGGGTCAAAACAAAGCGCGGACGAAGCTCGAGTCTTTCAAATATGGTTGGCGGCGTTCCTTTGCCTGCAAGAGTGTTGTGTCTTTGGAGTGTAACTTTAATAACAACCATTTTTTTAGTCGTACGAGTGGACAGTGAAAGCGACTGGAACTATTTTGTTGTATTCGTACCCGTTTTAATATACGACGGCGTTTTAATACTCGTAGTTTCGTCGAGAATTATAAGGCATTCTAGGAGACGTTTTTATGACGATGAACTCTCTGTGAAGCGAAAACTCTGGTTTCTTTTGCTTGTAGTATTAAATTTCATCTTTGTTTGTCTGGTTTCGAGCAAGCTGGATGGACACGTTTTGTTCTCTTGGTACTATGTGTTCACTGTTTTATGGATATTACTTATTCTTGTGGCGGCTGACACAACCAGATTTTTGAGACAGGATCTGAATAGCTAGCACGTTTCATGGCTTGGAAAATGGTTGGGTGATCTCCAATATGTCGTGGTGCGAAGCCAAGGTTTGAGGAAGCAACAAGAAGAGCTGATATTGGGAAATATGGCTGACATTGGCTGTATTCAATGAGTAAAGTCATTGGATAATTAACAAGGAAATTTACTGTACATCAATTGATGGCTTGATTGGAAAAAGGAAATTATGATTTGCTGCCATACTGTCGTTAATGCCTAAAGCCCATTTTTCACTAGGTGAATTTGTTCGTGCAAAGCGAAAAACAAATCTTGAGAATGTGATTGTTCGCACATAAAAATTGCCTAGTGGAAAATGGGCTTTAGCGTGTACATGCACTTGCGCCTAAATACGGAATAGCACCTTCTATTCTATCATAGTTAAACCCTTCTCTAACCCCAACCAATAAAAGTCTAATAAACAATTTGAGATTTTAAAAAAGTTGGAAAAGAATTTGATAAAAATTTGAGAAAGTCGGACAAAAAACAGTCGGGCCTTGTTTCAAAACTTAATCGACCCTGACCTTGTTTCACTTAGCATGCACACAACACAATGCCTTAATTAAACAATTACGCTATCAGCAAGCTTGAGAAAATTATTGCAAATTGTGCCTATAACGTATTGTGCAAGACTTTGGGTGACAAACCTTGACGTTTGAGGCGTAAACGATACAACTTTGCCTCTAATTAGAACATGTTTGTGATTGTGTGTGCACATGCTTTTTTTGGAGAACGTATTTCAGCACATAATTAACAAACATGACAGTCTGCATTGATTGTAAATTAGAAATTAGTTCAAAATACCACGCATACATCATTCAATGTTAAAAAATACAACGCAATTGATAAAGAGTGTAATATATGTAAATTATATGGAATGTTCAAATTTAATATTTGTTTATTAAAGTATGTCATGTTTTCATTTTCACATTTCATTTATGTCTATTGATGTCAGAAACTTTGCTATGTCCCTTTTGGAATTTCATTATTGTTTTCTACCCTATTGTTGTTATTAAATGTTGGCTGGCTAGTTTTAGTAGTATTTTATCTCCAAGATGTCGCCATTTTCAAAGAATGAGATTTGGTTAACAAAGGTTTTGGTAATTTTGACGAAAATTCTAGGAATTTTACTGTAATTCTAGGAATTTTTCGATTTTTTGGAAAATTTTGGAAATGAATATTTTTGAAATTCTGTTGTTACAAAGTGGAAACATTTCATAGAAGAATCCAAATTCAAGATGGCGGGCGCCGGGAGTGAATTCCACGTGTGGCTGTGTTCACGTTTAAAAAGTCTGAACCTTGATGAAGAAGTACTCGGAGAATATATCTCTGGCATTCTAGATGGAGACGATTCTACTCCTGAAGAAAAAGAAGAAGCTTTAAAAGAAACTTTAGAAGGGATGATGGTACTTATACATTTGTCAATTTGACAAATCAGTTTGACCGACAAATCACCAATGTTAACATAAATACTTGCTTGGTGAATTATTAATTGAACAAACTTTTGAGCAGATCATTATAATGTTGCACATTCATGACATACTATAGTATAAATATACCATGCACGATTTAGAGTGGCTTTATTTAATATGGCACTCAGTTGTAACACTGTTACAAGTGTTACACAGTGTTAAACAATGTTACATATTCTTACATAGTGTTCCAATGCTACATAGTGTTACACAGTGTTACATAGTGTTACACATTGTTACATAGTGTTCCACAGTGCTACAGACAGTGTTACATAGTGTTACACACACTAACCCCACCCCTACCCCTAAATAAAGATAGTGTAACACTGTTACCTGAGTATATAATTGATAATACACTATAAATCATGCAATATATATATATATATATATATATATATATATATATATATATATATATATATATATATATATATATATACATCCAAACCCTTCTCTATAACTATAGTCACCATATAGCCAGCATTTTACTAAATAGTTGGCTGCCGGCTGAATAGACACTTTGTATTAAATTATTGACACATAGGAGTCGCCTGATGACAACGTCAGTTCAGATATCTTTATGAAGTGGAAGGAATGCGAAGAAAAGAAAGCAAAACTTAAACAAGAAAGTGGTGGGTAGTCAATCTCAAAAGACGGGGGGGGGGTCTAATTATATGGACGGGGGAATATTTTATGATCCGTATAACATACATATATGTATTATGAAGCTCACTCTCCAACAGGGCTTTTTAGACTTTTTAGTGATCAATTACATCAAGTATTACTCTTGTATTAGTTTTGTGTTTTTTATTAGAAAACCAAAAACAAGACATTTTAGCAGCTGTGGTAGAAAAACAAATGAAAACAACAAACAATGTAAACAAGAAACCATCCCATAAACTTGATGAAAATGTAAAAAAAAATTTGATAGCTCAATATGGTCAGGAATATGATGAAGATTTTTAATATCCTTTGATTCAAGATTTAAGCTACTTAGAACAATTTGTGAACTTAACCAATTGAATGTACCCTCTTGACAGAATAAAATAATAAAGTAGACTGTATTGCTTCTTAAAGGGTTAAAATTTATGTAAATCAACAGGTTTTTGTATCAAATGTGAAAGCTCCTCATGCACAGTTATGTTTTCTTTTGTGCTTTTCTATTGAATATTGTTAATAATGAGAATTACATATTTCTTTAACTGATATTACCTCGAGCAGTGACGAAGAAGCACCATCACAGACAACCAAATCACAACCAGTAGAAAAGGACAAAGGTATCTTTATTTGTATTTCCTTCACTATTCTATATATTTTACCCAACTTCAAATATCAATTAAAAAATAAATACTCATCCCTGGCCAAAAACGTTACAAAAAGATACCATTCAGTTATCACACATGTCCTTTACCACCTCTGTGACATGACTTTGATGATTGCTTGCACAATTTTCTGCAGTCTAAAGTTTCATGTTGTCTGCACATGTACTTTCTATGGTAACACTTAATTTGCCTCCTGACAAACCGGAAAATTATCAAGATAATGACTCTCATTGATTTACTTATTGTATTGACATATGATAGTTGACATTATTTTTTACGCCCGTATTCTAAAAACTCACTCACACTCAATGAGTGGAGGTTCAATCTGAGCTTCTCTTGAGTGTCGATGCTGTTTTCGAATAGCTGAAGGGTGAGTAGTCACCGAATAAGGTATGAGACTAGCCCTCCAGCTATTCAAAAACAGCATTGACACTCAAGAGAAGCTCAGATTGAACCTCCACTCATTGAGTGTGAGTGTGAGTGAGCTTTTGGAATACGGGCGTTAGTCTTCAATATTTGAGTGAGTCATGCTTTGGAAATGACAATAATTTTTTTTATTACCTAACCCTGGAGTTGTTTTGTTTTTCCATTTACCCAACCTTTTACTCACTTAAAATTTTGTTTATCCTTTTCTCTCCCCCGCCATAAATAATGACTGGTCCCTAACTGAAAGTCTGAAACTACTACAAACTTGAAACTAACTTTGAATATTCCAGGTGTATTTCAAAACACAAATACGAAGTCAGTTTTGGATAAGGAGAAAGAGAAACGGGACAAACAGCGGCAGGAAAATGAAGATAAGAAAGTGAAAGACAAAGAGGATCGGGAAAAACAAAAGACGAAAGCAGAACAAAGGAAAGATAAGGAGAAAAAACGGACTCAGAAAGGGGAGCGACGAAGATAGCACTGCTCTGGAAAACGGAGTATTACAAATAGAATGGAACATTGACCAAAAAAATTAGAAAGAGTTTGAGAAATATTACGAAGACATTTTGTACTATAGATTTATACTAAACAGGTCTATTAGTTCTAAGCTGTTCTCTGTAGAGGTCCAGTAAGAGCCATCCCTTATTTGTCCAGTGTTACTACAGGAGGAAAACGGAGTACCCTACCAAGAAATTAGTTAAAAACATTTAAGATTTAGCAGCTTTATTAAGAACGTCAGTTTTGAAAATAAACTTGTTTATCAGCACCTAATCGATATTGCTGTAAAGAGTTGAATAAAGAGAGTTTATTTCCAAGAACCATTTTTGGGAAGCGTATTATATTTGGGACACTTCAAAGAATAACAATTATATGACGTGATCATATACCACTCAATGTTCAATCGCTCAACCAATAGATAATATTGACGTTTTGTAGTATATCAGAAGATTTATGAGAGGATTAAAGTATGTATTCACTTTTGGTAGTGATACACTTTATACAGTATTTCAGGCATCTAGACTTTTTGGCTACTTTAATACTGTAAATATTGCTATGTATGTGTCTAATGCCTGCGGGGCCCACCGAAATAAGTGTCTATGATATTATCTTGATGTCTTCATCATAGGAGAGCCAATAGTTGGTGGTAAAAAGCATAAAAAAGATTAATATAGTTACAAATTCAATAAAATTTCATTGTGTTACCGTAAAAATATTCTACCAACTGCTTTGTAGAACTACAAAAACAGTTGGTACAAAAACAGTTCGTAGAATATTTTCACGGTAACACAATTAAATTGTATTGAATTTTAAACTATGGCTCCCATGGCTATGATCAGGGACGCCGGAACTGGGGGGGCAGGGGGGGGGCGGCTGCCCCCCTTGCCTTTTGCTAGGGGGGGCAGGGGGGGCAGAAGTGCCCTTTTAGTTGTAAAATAATACGTGATAAATCACATTTCCAACGATGCTT